TGAAGGGAGACATCAGGCAGTATAAGACATGACAAAATAATAATAATTTATAAATTATCAAGGTTTCTTGAGGGAGGGGGAGCGATGAGGGAGGTGAAAAAATGAGGAGCTGATACCAAGGTCTCAAATAGAAAGCAAATGTTTTGAGAATGATGATGGCAACAAATGCACAAATGTGCTTGACACCATGGATGGATGGATGAGTTGTGATAAGAGTTGTATGAGCCCCCAATAAAATGATTAAGATTAAAAAAAATTGTAGGCCTCAAGACAAAGGTATCTATGATTTACCATCAAGAGAATGGCGGTGAGTTTGAGTTTTTTGAAAGACAAAGGAGAGGAGCAAACAAGTTTATTTTAAATGTTCTCCCTTTCCTGCAGCTATTTTTCTTTCTTCTTTTTTTTTGCAGCCATTTTTCATTCATATGACAATGTACATCCTATTCTTCAGAACCACAATGGTATTTGTAGGTAGTCTGCACTGTCTCCCTGCCACCAAGTCCCTTTAGATGCACAGAAGCCCGGTGCAGGGTTTCTGAGACTAAATCTTTTCAGAAACAGGCAGCCTCATCTTTCTCCCTTGGAGTAGCTGGTGGGTGTGAACCACTGACTTTGCAGTTAGCAGCCCAATGCCTAAGCCCACAATCAGCTCTTAGCCTGGCTAAAAGCAAGCAACACAAACAAAAAATCCCACAGCAGGTAGCCTCCTGGAGGGCAGAAAAAGGATAGGGAACAACCTTAACGAATCTGATTCAAGAAATAAAGTTCGAGTGAAAGACGAAAGTGTATGTCTCCGAATAAGAGAAGAGATATAAAAGTCAACAGAAAAGAGGACAAGACATACACAACTGGAAAGAGGACGTTGAACATCGTAGAGTCACTGTGAGTTTGTGCTGCGTTTGGTAGATGCTATGGATTCTGACTTACAGTGACCTCACATGACAGAGTACAACTGAACCCCAGGGTCTTCCTGGCTGTGGCATTTATGGAAACAAATAAATCTCCCACTCTTTCTCCCAAGACACAGCTGGTTGGGTTCAAAAGGCTAATCTTGGAGTTATCAGCCCAGGGCAGTGGTTCTCAGCCTTCCTAATGCCTCGACCCTTTAATACGTTCCTCATGTTGTGGTGACCCCCAACCATAAAGTTATTTTTGTTGCTACTTCATCACTGTAAGTTTGCTACTGTTATGAATCGGAATGTAAATATCTGATATGCAGGGCGTATTCAGCGACCCCTGTGAAAGGGGTATTCGACCCCCAAAGGGATCACAACCCACAGGTTGAGAACTGCTAGCCTAGGGCATTAACTATTAGTTAACCCCACCTGGGATCCTTTAGAAAACAAGACCCCTTTCAAATGGGAGGTTGGAAAGACATGTTAGGGCTAGAGGGTAAGCAGTTTGGAGAACTCTAGGAATTAAGAGATGTTTGTGGTTCTCATTTGGTGCCCGAGCCTTGACAGTAGATCCAGCAGACTGTCAGCAACTCAGACAGTATAGAAAGCACATCAGCACATGAGCGGCTTTCTCTTCAGGACAATGGAAACATTTGGAAACGGTTAATGGTGATGGTCGAACAGCACGATGAATACAATTAATGTCACTAAATGTGAAGAAGGTGAAATGGCAAATGTTTTTGTACCTATATACATGTACAGCTGAAAAATACAACATTTCTAAAGGCACATTACCTTAATAGTAATGTAGTTTTTCAGTGATTTTGACATTTTTTCTTCTTTGCCTTTGACGTGCAAATGGCCTAAAATAAAAACAAAAGCAGTTAATTCTGCACTGGATTGGGGGAAAGGAACTCTTTCAAGCATGAAGGATAAAAAAATATTCCTCAAGCCTGACTCCTGAGCCACAGGGCTGGGATTAGACGCTGATCTTGTAAACACACAGACCCGTCAGGGCAGCCTCACAAAATACCGTGACAAAACCCCATGTATATACTCGTGTGTAAATTTTCCCTAAAACAATCATCATGCATATCTGGCCCTAGGCCTCAGGTACACCAGCAGCACACTATGGGGAGGCAGTAAGCGGTGGCCCGTGGCACCACTGGCTGACTGAGAACTCAGAGAAAAATAGACTCAGGTAACCGTGGCATGGATTTGTAATTCAGACCTGGAAAAAAAAAAGGACCAATCGTTCATTTTACCCACAAAGTGATAGCAATAAAAACTTGTTTACAGCAGTTTAGAACTATAGAGTTGAGCTTGTGGGTCTCTGAGTATGATTAATTAGATTTTTTATTATAGTTTGTTTTCACAGATTTATCAAGACCGGGCTATTACTTTAACTCCTGTATATACTGAAAGACAGGAGGGAAACCAAATCAATTGAAGGTACTTCTAAATCTGAGCCTGGACTTATTCTTAGACTATGTTTTTAAAAGATTTATTTCCAAGCCAGAGTCTTTCCTTTTCGACCAGAAGATCGTTCCTCGTTTTCTGACAAGACGTCAGGAATAATAAGTGGCCCATACCAGCCCCCAGCTTTTTAAACCCCTGAGAATTGATTAAAATGTGGCTTCCAAAAATAAATATAAACCTTAATACATAAATTCTGTAAAATGTGTCGTATACACCAAAACAACATTTTCTTTTCTTGTATGACAATGTCTGCACACGAAACCACATCTGACTACTTAATTCTATCTTTCACCCAGTGAGGAAAACTTATCAGTTCTC